ATAAGACCCTACTGCTGAAGATACCACACATTTTGGTTGCAAAGTATAGAGAAATTAAGCCAGAACTAAGCAGAAAGCTTCCTCTCCTAGCTAGCTTTCATGATGTCAGGAGGTATATGCAGGCTGCTGGGGGAGAAAAGGCATCAGTGTTTCCCCCAGCTCTGGACCCTATGAATTATAATACCAACGACCAGGCAAGGTGGGCCCACTTGTGCAATAGTGGCACAACTGTTATGGTGCAACCAGTGCTTTCTGACTGGGTTCAAGGCCTGCTCCAAAAGAGGAAATCATGTTTGGTACTATAAACCCAGTCAAAACACAATACCTGGAAAAGTCATAGGCCCTGGGAGGGGACCTACTACTACTGTTTAGCTAATTTAAGGGCATCAAACCACCTTCTAAGCAAGTATGTTTATACCCATAGACTAATGTTACTCTGTGCCTTAATCAGAGAAGGCTCTCTTTACAATAAACTAAGTGAATGCTAGGGTGCTTGGTTGCTAGAGATGCTGAGAATAAGGAAGGGACAGTTGAGTGCTCAGTCCTAAACAGGGCATCTATATCACCCCCTCTATGGCTCAGGAAATACCGAGGAAGATGGTGAAAGAATGTAAGAGCCAGAAGATAGGGAAGGAGAACAGCTACAAAATGGCGTCTTCTGGGCACAGCATAGTTAACGCAATCATGAACTCAGAGCAGTTGTGGTTGTCTGCACTGGGCCTGCACAAGACTGGACCTGTCAGCAATCAGCCATGGATGGGGAGGGGCTATCAACCTGCCAAGCTCCACTGCATAGTTCCATACCCATGGTTACTCACAGAGCCCTGTTAAACTCAGTAGGTCACAATACAAAACAAAAAGACATGAATGTGTTAAAGGGACTTGGTTTTGATGGGAGTGGGAGGGAAATAGGAGAGGCTGGGAGGTAAGAACAATCAGAATACATTACATATGTGTATGAAATGGTCAAACAATTAATTAAAAAGTACATATTTTATAAAGGGAGTCATATAGAGACTGATGAGCAGAGCAGCATTTCCCTAACCATGGTTACAATTCTACCTTGCCTTAGATACAGAAAAACTAGTTTTACTAGTTTGAATCAGTCTGAAACAATATTTATTAGAAATCTGCTATATACAAAGAAAAGAAAAACCAAGGACTAGAATGGATCTGAGACTAGAGATTAGTAATCAGACAGACAGTGCAAGGCTGATAGAGAAAGAATGCTTAGAAATCATCTGATAGGTCAAAAGATAAGAGATACTGGAAGGAGGTGGTTGAAAGGAAAATTATGGAAAGATGTTTAACCCTGGCCTCTATGTGAATGTACAGACGTACACATGCACACATATGCATACACTCACAAGACACACAAATCTTTTAGAACCACAAATTCATCTCTATAGTTCACAAATCTTAGATGTAAAGAACACTCTCTACAAATAACAAAACGGATGCTCAAAACCAAATAGCCAACACCATTAAAAAATGATAAATGAAGCCAGGTGTGGTCAATCCCAATACTTGAGAGGCAGAAGCAGGTGAATCTCTGTGAGGTTGAGGCCAGTCTGGCCTACTTAGTGAGTTCCAGGTCAGCCGGGTCAGGAAGACCCTGTCTCTTCAAATTAATTTAGACATGCTATAATGTACATATCATATGGTACTTCATGAGCATGTTCAACCTTTATGTTTTCAGGTATAAGATTAAAATAAAAACAAACTTAAAATCAGGCAACTCAGAATGGATCTACAGATGTTCAATCACAGCATGAAACAAGTTGCTAAACACTTTAAAAAAATTGTATATCAAAGGCTGGGAATGGTGGGGCATGCCTTTAATACCAGCAGAGGCAGGAGGATCTGTGTGAGATTAAGGTGGCCTGGTCTACATACTGAGTTCCAGGATGGCTGGGGCTACAGGGAGACTCTGCCAAAAAAGGAAATAAAAAATAAAAAATAAAGGAGGGAGGGAGGGAAGGAGGGAGGGAGGGAGGGAGAGAAGGAAAGATCTTGGTGTAATATATATTTTGCTGCGCCAGTGCTATTTTTTGTCTTGTTCACTTATTTCTCTATTGTAATTGAGGATGGAGGAGGGAAGGGAAGACAGACAGTTACTCCTTCAAAGAATCCTCTGCCTCTCTGTCCCTTCTGGAATGTTCTTTTGCTATTAATTAAAGAACTACAGATATGAATCATACCCATTTGTTAAGGGATGACATGACTAAATATTCTGATTAAGGAATTGGACAACTATTCAGTCCGAGGCGAGATCAAAAGGCAAGAGGAAACAAATTCTACAGACTGTCTGATGAAAGGCTCTATCCTTACTGTAAAAAAAGCAGGACACTTTCTTGGAATAATCTAAGACACAAGTAGTAGTTTCATAAATTATGGATGAGACAGTCAGGAAAAGCTCTGCCGATTGGGGGGCAAGGCCTGACCAAAGAACAAATGATCTTAAGAAACAGGGAGGAAAACGCAAGGCAAAAGCAACAGCACTTTCACTACGAACTCTACAAGGGGCATCAGCAGCTTCCAAGAGTTCTCTGGATCATCTGGACAAGTGCTTGTCTCCAAAGCATTAAATATTTTTTCCTAAAGTTCATAAAACCCAAAGATCAGAAATATATTTCCATTTTTCAAAGACATCTCACACAAAGGAAGCTTAGTTCTGCCGCTGCCAGCCAAGAACTTTCAGAGTTGGAGCAATCTTCTCTCCGGCCTGGTTCCCAGTCTGCCCCACCTCCAGACTGGAAGCACAGTGCCCAGTGATGTCCTCCCCTCAGAAGCAGCAGAGGGCCATGCTTTCAGACTTCCTACTGCTTCAGGGAAAGTACTGTGGGAACATGTAAGAAAAATACTTCCGCTGTTGTTGTTTGAAGGAAGATACATTAAGATGAAATTCCTAGGCCATGGTAACACACACCTTTAGTCCCCTCACTGAGAAGGCAGAGGTAGGTGGATCTCTGAGTTTGAGGCCAGCCTGGTTTACAAAGCAAACTCCAAGCCATCCAGGGCTACATAGTGAGACCCTATCTCAAAAAACCAAATGAATACAAAGCAAAAAAAAAAAAAAAAAAACCCACAAAAAAAAACCCCCAAAACCCAAAGATGAAGTTCCTTTTTAAACTCATTCCTTCCTTGGGGTCATCTGGAATATTCTGTAGCTTTACATCAACACACCCTTCTTGGTTTTCTTCAGCCCTTGGGCAATTACTTCTAGTGCCAAATGATAGGAAATGGTCTTTTAATATTTCATGTAGATAACTTGTAATTTGCACATTTTACTTATATTTCTCTTTAATGACCCAACAACATTTAACATCACTCATAATAATTGGAGCTCTCTCTTTGGGGCACTTTCTCTTAAGATTTAGCTAGTTAGGGATGCTATTCACTGTGCTGATTCACTTTAACGATCCCATCCGACACGAAGATGTTGGCAGATGAGGGTAGAAAACAAACAGGAAGTGCAGAGGACACCGACTTAGGGAACTTCTTTTCCTCTGTCGTTTCACTCCCTGACCCCATATAACACCTTCCCTTGATGACCCCCAAGAGGGCATTTCTGTTTCAAACAAACAAACTGGTCAGCTATCTCAAAGGAACCGATCTCCAGCATAGACTTGAAAATCAAGCCCTAACAGAAGTACAGTGTGAGAATGGACTGTACACTGACTGCGGGTGGAGCCACAGCACAAGCAGAATGCCTGTTCTGCCTCTGCACAGACTCTGGATTGGAAGGAGATTCATCAGTAGGCTTTCCTAAACTGGGTATCTCTTTTGATAGAGTCACTGTGCTCCCTGTCAGACTGAGGGCAGATTCAGAAACGACCTCAAATCCAATGCTTGAGAAAACAAAGTCTGCTTAGACTCATACTACCATTTGGCTCATTTTCCCTAAAGCTCCTGGGCCATTTTTCAGGACTGCAGAATGTGACAACTCCAGAGCATCCACATGCAACATTAAACAGCCATGCCCTAGCTTTTGGTACTAGAAGTAAGTTCTCAAGGGCTGCAAAAAGCCAAGAAACATAGGTACAAAGCTTCAGAATATTCCAAATGAACCTCAGGGAATGAATAAGGAAAAAGAAAAGCTTAATCCTAATGTGTCTCTTCATTAAGATGTCAGTGTTTAAATAAAATGTGTTTGTTAATGAAAAAAGAAAAAAGCTAAGCAAAAACTTATCCATCGGGACTCACAGGAAATCACTACAGCATTCATCCCTAGAGACACTGAGAGGATCACATCCGTTTAAAGCACCTGGATGCTGTGCTTGGCACACAGTAGGTACATGTACTGGATAGCTTTAGTGTCAATTTGACATACCTGGGTTGAGGGAGCCTCAATTGGGGAATTGCTTCCATAGGACTGGCCTGTCTGTGGGGCATCTTCCGACGGATGAGTGACGTGGGAGGGGCCCAGCCCACTGTGGGTGGTACCACCGCTGGCCTGGATGCTGTGCTTGGCACACAGTAGGTACATGTACTGGATAGCTTTAGTGTCAATTTGACATACCTGGGTTGAGGGAGCCTCAATTGGGGAATTGCTTCCATAGGACTGGCCTGTCTGTGGGGCATCTTCCGATGGATGAGTGACGTGGGAGGGCCCAGCCCACTGTGGGTGGTACCACCGCTGGCCCTGTGGGCCTGTGTTGCATAAGAAAGCAGGCTGAGCAGGGGCCAGGGGAGCAAGCCGGTAAGCAACGTTCCTCCGTGGTCTATGCTGCAGCTCCTGCCTCCAGGTTCCTGCCCTGAGTTCCTACCTTGCGCTCCCTGATGAACTGTGACCCAGGAGATGTAAGCTAAATAAACCCTTTCCTCCCCAAGTTGGTATTGGTCAGAGTATTTTGTCACAGCAATGGAGAAACAAACTAGAATGGTACACAACCACAAAAATAAATAGCAGTCAGTGCTTCTAGAGAGCATGTAGACAAAGGGCAGGTGGGAGAAGCAGGGGATGTCCGACACTGAATCCCTTTGTCTGCTGCACTTACTGTGTCTCAGCCCCTAGCAGCATCTCCACCTTCTCATTGGCGTGGTTACTGAGGACGGTCAGTGTAAAGAGGTGAGTGGTAGAACTCTGCCTCGAATAAAGCATTGTGGAAGTGTTCCTCCCTGGAGAAGAATTGAGTTCTTCATTGTCACAAGCTTCCACCAATAGCTGATCCCTCAAGGAATAATCATTGACGTTGTAACTTTCTTCGCTAAAAGAAAAAGGGAAAGAATATGTCAGTTATTCAGGAGATGAGAAGACTGGGGGCACTGCCAGTTTTCCAGTGGCATTTTTTAGAGAAGCAGGACATAGACAGGACAGAGAAGATGAACTATTTTATAACAGGAATTGGAACCTGAATTATATCTACTGATTATGAACCATGAGAAGCCCCACTTGAAATTTTCAATTGCTACTATGCATGTAACATACTAAAGTACATCTCAGGCATAGAGCAATATTTTAAAAATATGAAGCTTTGTAGTGTTGAGACAGTTCTGTACCTGTTATAATCAATGAAACTTGCATGCATCCTGAGAATTCTGTGTATGATGCACCGCCTCAGTTTTTATGCCTCCAAAACAGAATGAAGACGACGCAAACCTACCCATGCTCTGGGTAACCAGATTTCACCCCCTGCCTCCAAATGACCACAGAGAGGAGGGAAGTAGAACCCCAGAAGTCTGCCTCTGGAAACTGAACACCAGGGATCTTCCTAGTGAGGCAGAACCCCAGTGGTCCGCTTCCTTCTGAAAAGATGCCAGCCCAGCCTTCTCTCCCACATTTGCTGCCTCACCATGGGTTTCAGAGCCACCAAGCTTCATCCTGCGGTGTCTCCACCTTTGTTTATTCCAGGACCCCCAGGACCCTTTATTCCACCATCACACTGTGAACATGGCCAATGAAGCCCCACTTCCCTCTGCTCAGCCGGCTCCTGAACTTCCCACTGCGCCCTCTAGAAGTGCCCTTCCTTTAAGGAACCCAAGAAAATCTAAAGCTGTAACGTCTACTTCTTTTATTTTTTTATTTTATATGTATGAGTGTTTTGCCTTCATGTAAGTGCACCTGTGCATGTATCACCTGAGGAGACCAGGAGAGGGCATCAGATCTTCTGAGGCTGGAGTTCTAAACAGCTGTGAGCCATCATGTGGGTGCTGGGAACTGAACCCAGGTTCACTGCAAAAGCAGCCAGTGCTCTTATCTGTTGAGCTACCTCTCCAGTTCCAAGCCTTAGCTTCTGATCTGAACCTTCCCTCTGCCCTATAACCAAACGTTTCTTCTGACAGAACTTTGGTTCTCTGTAGGAATGACAGCTCTGCTCACTTCTGGTCACTAATCACCTCCTTCTTGAAAGAAGGCTCAACTTAGGAACTCATGCCATCAGTCCCTATGTCCTAACCACAGTCACCTACAGACTCCTAAGTCTCCCAATCTTCCCTTAAGAGTCCCAGGCTTACTGTAACTCTCCAGCATTACTTCCTTAATTTCCATGCAACAGCTCCTTCCGCTGCAGTGGTCTCTGTTCTTTGACTTCTCAGTGGTCTCTCCCTACCTCAGCCACCCACCACACTCATTATTATCATCAAACACAGCCGCCCTGCTCATGAATCCTGACCTCATGCCAGGCACACCATGCTCTACCTGGCACCCCATCTTTCTAGGTCAGCACTCCAATCCTCAACCCGAACACTTCTTTAACCCAGCAGTTCCTGCTCACTGGCTCTACCACTTTCCCCTGTCATTAAATTCTACATGTCCCTTCACTCATGCACATCAAAGCACCCAGCCTGGATTTCCTGGACCTAGCTTCTTGTCACGTGCTCATCTCCTTGGCTGTACTTGCCTGGAGACTCCCAAATCTGGTTATTTACAGCTCTCCTTCTCTTTTCCATCCTTGCAGGAAACTTGTTAAATAAATGGATGGCTATACAATACATTCTAATACAACACAGGAACAATGAAAAGTACCTTATTTAGTAGCTAATATATGTGCTTAGAAGAGCCGGAAGAAAAGATAATCCCTTGTGCCGTAATATAATAGTAATTTTAAAGGAGATTTCTAAGTGCATATTCAGGGGTGGCCATACAGAATAGTGATTTTAGAACAAGCCAGTTTGTTCAAGATTTTTGGAATCTCTTTTACTCAGTAGTAAATAGTTCTGCCTGTAAATCACTGTTTTGTAACTCTCCTTGGAAAACTTTATAGTCTTTTCTTAAGTTTAAAATCTGTTGGTGGAGTCATGTCTATACTCAAGACAAGTCCACATGACCTGAAAAGCTGTCCAGAGACTGGAACACCCAGGGATGGTAGACCTAGGGCTGTAAGGCAACTCTCACATCCAAAACGAATGATATCAAAGCACGCATTCTACTTAAAGGGAAGGAAGTATGACGGTACACCTTCACATGAAACATGGCTGTATCCTTAAGAGTTCCTGTTTACTAGAAACAAAGTAATCAAAATGTTTACAATGTCAGAATATCTCAGACATGCATTTAACAGCCCAGGACCCAGGATGGGTACACACACACACACACACACACACACACACACACTGTTAAAGCAAAGCAAAATCTCATTAATAGCAAAAACCACAGGGCGAAAACAAGTTCCTTGCTCTTCTCCATTCTCTGTAACCTACTACTCAACTCTTTGGCCCAAATCACAAGCTACAAAACTCATTCCCTCCTAAAAACAATTCTCCAGATAAAGAAATAGAAGCAACCTGATGCAGTGGAAGCACCCAGCATTGTAAAAGTGGGCGGTTAGGTTGGCACTGAGCAATGATGGCTGTACTGGTATCATGGTTATTTCCAAAGAAAGAAAAGTCAGAGCAGCCTGTGTATGACAGGATTCTTTTTTAAACCAAGCTAAGCTCCTAATCTTCAACATAAATCAGTTTCACTTGTTAGGTCATCCCTGAGTTCACATAAGATGAATATAAGCTGAGTAAGGCGGAGCCCTCCATTCTTTTTCCTTTTCAGAATCTCCTGTTTTCCAGGGTTTGCCTAAATATAAACAAACCCAGGTAGGATATTTAACTTCACCAATGCTTTAAATCTTTGTCTTTTAGGGATCATTAAAATCAGAAGTAGAAACATGCTTAAATGTGCACAAGTTGTTCTTTTAAGCAATGGCAGGCACAATACCACTGACTGAGAGCTAAGGTGGTTGCCTGATAGTAAAACAACATTTTACTATCTAAAGTGGTTATCCTGCTCACACCTATGTACATTCACCTCCAGTGTATGTGTCCACATGTCTACAGGGCTATGGCACCAAGTACATCTGAACAGGAAACCTAGCCCAGTTTGGATGTCTAGATCCAACACAGGATACAAAAAACATGTTTGCCTACCTGACTTTTAAGTGATTTCCTATGAGCCACCAAAAATCATTATGTTATCTAGATGGTAAACTTCTAGACCATATAGTAAATAATACAGAGCTTTAAACGTCACTACTTTTTAAAAGTAAGTTTACTGCCGGGCATGGTGGAGCACACCTCTAGTCCCAGCACTTGGGAGGCAGAGGCAAGCGGATCTCTGTGAGTTCAAGGCCAGCCTGGTCTAGAACTGGTCTAGTGAATTCCAGGTCAGCTCAGGCTACAGGGAGACCCTGTCTCAAAAAAGACCAAAAAAAAAAAAAAAACCAAAAACTGAGATTACTATTAGAAGAGCTTGATTTCTTTTGGGTGTTTAAGACCATACAGTTGGCCCAGATAAACCAATTTATTTTTACTCTTAAAGTTGTTTGAGGATCTGTTCCTCAGGGGTCACATGGACTTGGGAGGAGCCCCTGGCTCCTTTCTTTTACCAGTCCCATCTATGTGAAGATAAGTCAAAGGTCCTACTCAACTGTGGCTGGCTTCACTTGGAAGCATGGAGGAAATGTTTCCTCTGTGTTGACCCTCCTCTTTGTAGACTGTACAGTGGTTCAAATCCATTTGCTGGGGTCTCCATGGCCTCCTTGATCAAGAGGACAGGTGAATCACCACAGTTACAGGACATTAAACACCCAAAAGGAAAGTATAACCAAAGGGATCAACATAATTCTTTTAAGAGTCCATGTGTATAGCTAAAGGCTACATAACAAGAAACAATGCCAGACAGGAGATACCTTTGAGTTGTTAGCCAGGGTGTCCCAAGAGACGCTCAGACAGTAACCCAGCACAGAACTGGGAAAATGAACAGCAGAACCCAATCTTAACTAAAGGAATATTGGCAGCTGATTGCTGCTAGGTGAGGAAAAAGAGCTGATCTTCCTAAAACAAGGAACTTTAGATAAGCTAACCAGATTCAGCAGATGGACAAGCCCAGAGAACGGCTGTGGGGGCGCCGATGTGCAAACATCTAAGTGTTAGTAGCATTAAAAATGAGTTTTTCTGTATGAAACAGTATATTCTAAAATGAAATGGAGATCTTTTTTTAAAGGTTAAAACCTCAGTCAGTTTTATGTCTTATAGAGTTTATACTACTTATACAGTTGTATAACTGTATTAATTCAACTGTGAACCTAAAGATTTACAGTCAATTTTGAAAGGGATACATCTTTGCTCTGGAAACTGTTATTGAATATGTTAATGCTGTAACGAAATGCTTCTTCTAATCATGTGGTTATTAAATAAATAATTTTTAAAAATAAAAAACTTATCAACAAGCCTGCAAATAACAAAAAAAGCACTTGATTTCCATTAACAGTAGTAAAGTTAAATTGGTTATTTATCCTTTTCAGTTACCTTCAAACCCAATGAACAAAAATCAAAACATAGCTCACTCTTGCAAGATACCCTGGAATGATCTCTCACATACCCACGAACACACATTTAATCTCCTGAAGGTTCAAAATAATCACCAGTGCTTCCCCACCTCTGAATTTGCTGACTACTGCATGAAACTCATCCTCCTGACGGCTAGCACCTGCCTTCTCCCCTAGAAGAGAAGGACACCTGCCATCTCCCCTAGAACACCTGCCTTCTCCCCTAGAAGAGAAGGACACCTGCCTTCTCCCCTAGAAGAGAAGGACACCTGCCTTCTCCCCTAGAAGAGAAGGACACCTGCCTTCTCCCCTAGAAGAGAAGGACACCTGCCTTCTCCCCTAGAAGAGAAGGACACCTGCCTTCTCCCCTAGAAGAGAAGGACACCTGCCTTCTCCCCTAGAAGAGAAGGACACCTGCCTTCTCCCCTAGAAGAGAAGGACACCTGCCTTCT